AACCTCTGCTTGGAGAGGTGCGTTTCAACTGAATGTGTTCTTGTGCCTTTTTATTTAGTCCTTAGCCTCCTTATCCTTAACAACACTCTTTATATAAGATAGGTAGTGTCATAAGACTAAAATCCCCCCTCCCCTCAGACATGACGACCTTAGACCGTATCCTGGTGCGGCACAGCCCGCAGACAGACGTGCATCACGTGGTGGTGGAGGCGGGGATGTTAGCGGAGGACTTCGCCCGTGAGCTCCAGCACGTGTACGGTCTGGCCGTGCCTGCTTACGGCAACTTCGCCGGGCACACGCTGGGCGGGCTGGTCAGCACTGGCGGACATGGCTCCGGATATGCCAACAAGATCTTGGTATGATATGATTATAAACCTGCCTTTCTCCTGCAAGTCTTTAATGTCACTGACGAAAGGTACTGGATGCTACCTGAAACGTCTCAACGTTTCCAATTTCATATTCCAACATTTCCAAGTTCAAGTTCATATTCAAATTGTCACAATGCTGTTGTTTCCCCAGGCGGACTCTGTAGTGGAGTTACACATGATAATCGAGGGCGGGATCCAGGTGAAGATTCGCCGGTCCAACATCGCCAGTCAGGAGATCGACGTTCCGTTCGACGACGTGCGCGACAAAATCCGGACTGCGAACGTCCGGAGCGACCCGATCGTCATCCTCAGTACGGAGGTGTTCCGGGCCGCCGCCCTGGGGCTGGGGTCACTCGGGGTCATCTACTCCCTAACCATCCGGTGAGATTCAGTTTCAGATTTTATTTGGGGTCGTGTGGCGTAGCGTTAGAGTGCTCAACTCGGAACCAAAAGGTCCCGGGTTCGAGTCCTGACATGCCGCCGATCTTGTGCCGTTGGGAAAGGCACTTGACACAACTTTCCTAACTTCGCTCAGGTGAAAATGAGTATTGTATTGTCCCCCGTGTTGCTAACGGCATTTAGATAAGTTGAAAAAACTTAAGTGTGCCGTCACTACGTCTTGTGATTACATGTTGGAATAGATATTTTATTTCCAATGACATAGCAAGTACACGAATAAAATCAATAGAAGAAAGGTAACATTTGCAAAGCAAACGCATAATGTTTACCTTCGCATATGGTCTACTCAGTTAATTCTTACTCAAACACATATATGGTGATAGGAGTCTAAAACATTGTTCTCCACACTATTTCCGCAGAAATTCTAACACTGTGTTCTCCACACTATTTCCACAGAAATTCTAACACTGTGTTTTCCACACTATTTCCACAAAGGTGCGAGCCTACGTTCAACATCGAAGAGTTCCGCACGCCTGTGGAGATCTCGTGGCCGGGCGAGCGTCTGTCGGGCTGCTTCGCGTTCCCCTCCGGGTTCGTGGACATGTACACGCTGGACCACGAGTTCAGCACGTTCGTCCTGCACCCGATCCCTGACCCGTCGCGCGGCCAGGTCGAGCCAGGGTACGCCGTCATCCACGGGGTCTACTTCGGCGGGAAGAGGACTGGAGACCCGCCGGCCAGGCACAACTGCTGCCCGTGCTGCCCCGGGAGCAGAGGACTGCTTGGCTGCCGCATCTTACAGGTAACACTAATTATAACGCATGTCACGCATTTAGAAATTTGGCCCCCCGAGCTCTAGCCGACCAAACGCCTCCAACCGTGGTTAGGAGTAGGTTGAGAGCAAGGTCGGCTGGTGTTAGGCGAGGTTGGCTACTATTCTAGTTTGGGTGCTATCCAATTTGTAACTGTAACCCCCAAAACCTCTCTTGGATAGACTGTCCGGGTAAAAACGAAAACAAAAACAAAAGACGGCTAAGTCCATGAACGGCCTCAAAACGGTCACTCTGGACTTTGCTGTCAGTTTTGTCAGGGTTGCCGTTACAAACTGGATGGCACCCAGGCTATTACTAGTCGGCTGCGCCAGGCGAATGTTTTAAAATGTTTCAAACATTCGGGGGTTGGTCAGGAGGTTATGGACGCTTTCCTACAAAATTTAATACACCTGACAACCTTAGACTAGGCTATATTTAGGGATGACCTACTAACTCGTAACAAGCTCTGCTCTCCCCAGAACGACTGCATGGCCACCGCCCTGCTGTGTGGAACCTCCTGCTGTGCGCGTCAGGTTCCCATGGTTACCAAAAACGGCCTCCGGATGCTGTCCCACCGTAGCAGCTACGTGCATCAGTGGCATAAAGTCTTACAGCTCGCCCCGGATGTCAAGTAAGCTTCTTCACGTTTTACTAGAACATATTAGTACTTGTTTTATGCATTACGTATACATAATGTGATGCTCTTTCCAACTGTCAGAATTTGGCCTCCCTAATACCAACCGAACTCCCCCAACCATGGTTGGGAGTAGGTCGGAAGCAGGTCGGGAGTAGGTCGGGAGCAAGGTCGGCTATGGTTGGCTAGTGTTGGCTACTGTTCGGCTGTCCCAGCCGAATTCAGATGCGGACAGTAGGTTTGACTGGTGTCCGGGAGTAGGTCAGCAGTGTTCGGAAATCAAATTTGACTCAAATTTAAGTCAAATTCCGTTCCATTAGTATAGAAAGGCATAGGCGTGACCTAAATCTGTTAAGATTGCTCCCGACTTTGGCTGGGATACACTACAGATATCTTAGTCGCCATCACATGATCATTGATGTATATCCTTTATGACCCTGTTCTCACCAGTGTGGTCACCATGGAATGGTTCGTGGCCCTGGACGAACTCGAGGCGGCGGTTGCTGACGTCATCAGCATGGCGGTGACGTACGGGACCAAGTGTCAGCACTTCTCCCTGCTGCCCATTGCATGCCGGGTACTGGAGGCAGACGACTTTTACCTCAGCCCGACCTGCCAGAGTCGTGTGGCGGAGGAGTCCGTTAGTCACTACGGCTGCATCGAGGTACATACGGGGAGTATACATATATATATTATATATTGAAGATTTAGTATCACCAAGGGTACCGGTATAGTTCTGATACGTAAACAGCACTCTTAGTACAATGTGAAGCTTTATTTGAACACTATTATGATATATTTCATGATAGAATTTAAGCTATAGTTTAGGCAAATGATCTTCCTTGTATTGTCAAGTCTTTCATCTTGCATGTCACTTCCAGGTGCCGTTCCTTCCAGGCGAGTACGGGGCGGCTCAGTTTCACAAGGTCATCGACGAGCTCCTTCTGGAAAAGTACCAGGCGCGGCCGCAGTGGGGCGCTTCTCACCTGCTCACCCAACCACGTGTGCGCAAGAGCTACCCTGAGCTGGACAAGTGGCTGCAGGTCTGTAACAGTGGGGGTTTATAGGCGCTATCAACCGACCCGGCCGATGGGTCTAGACCTTTTCGGCCGAGCGGTTAGAGCGTCTGGTTATGAAGCTGGTGCCCGGGACGTCGTGGGTTCGAACCCCGGCCCGGGACCAGAAGGGTTTTTATCTGTTTCTACTCGCTTCTCCTGTTTCTGACAGACCCGGCCGATTGGTCTAGACCTTTTAGCGGAGTGGTTAGAGCGTCTGAACTGGTGCCCGGTCTGGGGAGGTCGTGGGTTCGAACCCGGCCAGGGACCAGAAGGGTTTTGTCTGTTTCTACTGCTGTTTCTTCTACTGTTTCGGGACCAGGTTTTTTTTATCTGTTTCTACTGCTCGCCTCTGTTTCTTACAGGTGTACCGCCTCTTCAACAAGAACGGCACGTTTGGGAACGCGTTCACGGAGAGGTGCGGCTTCGACGACCCGGACGCGAGGAAGAGCAAGACCCAGTCCATCTCGCGGACGAGGTCATTCCGGAGAAACAGACGGGGCTTCGTGGACCAGCGGCCGGATTCCAGCATTTTCGCTACGATAGACGAAGTGGACGACCCTATCATCATGTCTGAGTCGTCCGTGTAGGCGCTGCAAATCTCCGTCTCGTAAACGGTCGTCGCCTTTCAGAACGGTCGTCGCCTTTCGATGCCATATCGCTGACTGGTCGATGCCATATCTCAGTGTATCATGGCATAACTTTTGTTGAGGTCCAAAAACGTACAAAACGTAATACATACTATAAAATGCAACATTCTAAATGCAAATGTAAGGGAGGATCATAAAAAAATGTATTAGTGAAAATATTTCGGATTCAAACTCGGGTCAAAAAGCGTAGATCTAAAACCCTAACATGCACGGTGTGAATGGACCGTGCTGATACACTTCAGCCGTTCTGCAATATGGCATCGACCGTTTCAAAAGGCGACAATCTTTTATAATTACGAGACGGAAATCAGTGTAATCATTACAGAACTGCTTGCTTCTCCGGAATGTCTCGTCTCTCTCTTCTCTTGATATCTCTTGATGTTGTATGCTGTACGGTATTCAAAGCAAAGTAAGAGAGATATAGAGCCCTGTTTATTACCGATCCGCGTTATAACGTTAACATCTTTTTAAAAAATCGCCAGGGAGAATTTCACATTCTACATTAGACTTCCTCTTTTGAAAAGTAGGGTCCCCAAGGAAGTTGCCAGTTTATATATAGTAGTTTGAATAATGGAGTCCCTTCTTGAGGTGATACTTTTAGTTTGAACTTAAAACATTAAAATTTATATATGGTCACAAAGTCTTCAATATAAGAAGAAATAGGGCGTTTTAATATGAAAATGTCAAACCTGAATGAACAATATTGACTTACTGAGTGTGTAACGCGGCTAGTGCTAAATGTGTTGTGTGAGATAGTTTTGAAGTTACCGTGAATAAACTAGACATGCAAGCAACTATTACAGGGCGTCTAAAGTATGACTACCGATTTAGTTACTCGAGGTATAACGTGTGTGTTCACCCGTACGGTTACATGTTTCCGGTTGAAATGCTAGCATAATGCTTACACAGAATGATAACCCATTCCACTGTTTACATGTCGTATAACACATATTTGCCTTAGAGTGAAATGACGTACACACTGATCTACCGGCGCAAGAACAGCTGTGGTTGGCTAAGCTTTATATGAAATGTTGTCATAAAAGGATTGCAAAAATTAAACTTGAAGCAGATTCTACCTACCATTCTGTCCAGCAACATTAGCACGATGGTGTGGGCTGTTGTGTCTCTCGTGTCTTTGCTGTCGCTTCAAGGTTTGATACCCATTGTACGACTAAAACATTTTAACATGTCATTTCTATTTATTGTCTACTGCAACTTATGGTGCGACTATACTCGTCCTTTGATCGTTTTTGTTCCAGAATTTTTACCGTTGTTTCTTTCATTTTGATTCCTAGTATTATGTATTATGTGGTTGGTAGCACTCTTGTTTTACGGAAAGGGTCGGGGGGGGGGGTAAGGAACATTTTGGCGCAATACAGCCTGTACTTCAAGACCGATTTGCTCTTTATTTTTTCTGCGGTTTTTTGAAGGACCATTACAACGTTACAACAACATGTGTATGTTATGAATGTCTGACCATAAAGTCTATTTATTGGAACAGCCTGCTCTGGGGCGCCACACGCGCCACCAACATATGGTGTGGTACATTATGGGGAGGTCCAGCACAGGGAACCTAAAGGTATTTGCATGTTTTTTTTTCTAATTTTGATTTAAGAATTTCCTAAGTATTATGACAGTAATATTTTATGTTTCGCGAGGCGTTTTAACCCAAATTTAGTACATGACCCACGGTTTATTTGGAATTACCACAGGAACATGTCTCAATCCCCTGGCACACATTCGGAACCACACCCGAGTGTTTTAAACATGTTAAAACATTCGGATGACGCAGAGGAACTGTAGCCAACCTGGCAGACCAACAGCCGACCTTGCCCCCGACCTACTCCTGACCATAGTTGGGGGGATTTCGGCAGTGTTCGGGAGGCCATATTCGCCTGTGCGTGACAGGGGCTTTAAGCAAGCTAGCGGAAGGAAATGATGCTACAATTGCTGATGTGTCTTATTGTCTTTTTTCGCATCTAGAAGAGATGCATCTGCAGAATATACAGAAGACACAGTGGGGTGAGTACAGCCTACATCACAATCACTTTGTCAATAAATAACTATTGCATGGCCAGTTTACCATTGCGTGGCGATTTGTATTATGCTTCAGACAGAATTCCTCATCAACTATATTTTCTGTTTTGAAATTTTACATTTGGATGCCTTTAAAATTTCAAATAATAACTTTATTGCGCAACAATTGTACAGTGTACAAAGTATGGCATCTACTAACGTAAGTAAGTACATGTCAACTACATTTTCATAAGGCTAATCTAATACAAAAGTGGGTGGCTAGTATGAGATAGGTATCAACTTATACAATCGTTTCTGATATCCATACAGTCTTTAATATATATCCCTATGTATAGCATGTAGGGGTTGTCACAAGTCAATATGTATTTAAATTTTCTTTCCAAGTTCATTGTGGTGAATGCTGGGAAAGAATCTGAAAGTCTAGTATATAGTGCATTTCGTACATTAATATATTTAGGAATTTCAAATGACTTTACTGTGAATCAATTAGTTCGTTTATCCAGTATTTGTCTCCTAGCTCTCTTTGTCCCTTGTGGTGACGGAACTTTCATCCACTATGACTACTGGTGTGACGGGCTGTACTATCACTGCGCCAACTTTGCCGACGAACTCAGCTGTAGTAAGTCCTTGCTTGTTATGTTAATATCAAAGGGAACATATTGTATTTGCTGTTTCCTCTTCTTCTTCTACTTCTTCATACAAACAAGGCCAATGACCTGAACCAGACGTCTGTCACCATGGTAACTAGTGTTGGGTTACATCATGTTGCAATTTTATAGCAGGAGGGGTTTAGACTGCTGTAACCATATTATATGAATGTGTTTGACTATTAATTAACAGAGCAGGCTATATGCGAAGGTAAACATCATGCACTTGCTTTGCAAATGTTACGTTTCTAGTTTAACCTTGGGTATCTGGTATAACTATCTTATTTAAAGCAGCGTGTATTGGTTTAAGTTAGACCGTTTTTCTTTGGTAATTCATGTACTTGTTATTGAAAAGCACTGTATGGGGGTCTTTAGAGAAATTGTTACAAAAAAGTACTGTGTGAGATATACAGGACTACATGAGTGAGAAGATTGCTACATGGAAAGGTATAACAGTGATATAACAGTCCATTTGTTAATTCAGTGACCAGGAACGAATTTATAAACGCAAAGACTGGTCAAGAAGACTGAGTAAAAGGCAATATCAAATTCTACGTGGGTCATTGAGAAAGAAACATTTGCCAGCTTTCGTAGAGTTTAAATCGTCACACGTGTTAGTATGATACCGGACGGTGGCCGGTTGTTCTGTTTGGAAAGTTGCTGAAGCTAATATTTACTCCTGATGTCAGACACAAGTCAGATGGTGGCGTGTGGGGACGGCAACTACGTACAGCCCAGCCAGTGGTGTGACGGACAGTACTACCACTGCCCCAACTTCGCTGACGAACTCAGCTGCAGTACGTAAACTTATGTTGATATGTATATCCTCTGGGAACCCCAAAACTGATGCGAACGTGCGAATAGATATAAGTTTGGCAAAAAAGGTTTGGCTTTAGTATAATAACCATTGACAGAGAAAAAAATCATAAGTACTAGTAGAAATAGTTTATAGTTACTAAGCGTTATTTGTCATACATTGTACCCGATGCAATTGTTGCGCAATAAACTTTGACTTGACGTATTATATTACCCATAAGGCAACACTGGAACTGGTACTGGCACCGGTACCGGCACGGGTACAACAGGCTCGTCCGGCCAGTGCGGACAGCAGGCCATCTCCCCGTCCTCCAGCGGTAAGATTCTGGAAGGCGCGCAGGCTACCGCCAACTCCTGGCCCTGGCAGGTCAGTCTACGCCTGGTCCTGGCCAATGGGATCCACTTCTGCGGAGGGTCACTCATCTCTGACCAATGGGTCCTCACAGCGGCACACTGTATACACGCGTAAGTCAGAACTCTTCTTCGTCTTCCGTCTGATGGTTGATTGATGTTCGGGGAAGGTGCTGAATGTGTGACAGGGGTTTACCTTCACCTTTTCGTCCCCAGGTACTCGTCTCCCTCCAACTGGAAGATCAAGCTGGGTCTTCACCAGGTGGACGGCAGTGCTGAACAGGAGAGGAGCGTGGTCAGGGTGATCAAGCACGAGCAGTACCGCCACACGCCGCACCCGTATAACGACATCGCCCTGCTGAAGTTAGACCGGCCCGTCACCATGTCACAGAAGGTCACCTCCATCTGCCTGCCGACTAGCATGACTCCTGACAACACATACTGCTACGTCACCGGCTGGGGCGCCGTGGGATACGACTCTCAAGGTGGTTTGTTTGTTTGTTTGTGTGTGTGTGTGTGTGCGTGTGCGTGTATGCGTGTGTTTTGTGTATGTGTGCGTGCGTGCGTGCGTGCGAAGAAGCCTTTGAAGACGAAAGGAGGCAGCACCTTTATGCTGCAAGGGACTCTTTTCTCGTCAGCAAATAATAAAGGAATGGATCCGGCACTCTAATATATACTACACATAAATCCACAGCTTTGGGATGGATACCTGTTCAACTACAGAGTCCGTTAGCCACTAATGAGAAGTAGTAGATGCTTCAAAATCTATCCAGTTGCTTGGGTAACAGTTTCCTTGTGTATCAATATTCTTTTATTCCACAATTTCCTTCCATACAGGTACGGAGGTGATGGCGTCGTCATTGAAGCAAGCCCGGGTACCGATAAAGACCAACAGCTACTGCAGCGCGGCATGGCAGGGCAACTATGACTCCTCTAACATGGTCTGTGCCGGCTATGACTCTCTGTCACAGGGAGGAGACTCCTGTGTGGTAAGTCATTTTATTAACCCTTCATTTTCTCTGTCAGTCTGTCTCAAAAGACTATGTTTTATGTGTAACTGCACAAAAAACAGAATGGCATTGTCGTACGATTTCGACCTCAAGTTCAAAAGTACGGACGTACTATTTTACTCTAAGTTTAAGTTCATTGTTCGAAGGAAGTTTTATTAATTTTAGGATTGTTTTGGAAAATAGTAGGAAATGTTTGGAATTTTTACAGGAAATCTAAGACATTTTGTAGCCTATTTTAGGAAATTTGTAGAAACTTTTTGGAAATTGTTATGGAATTTTAGGAACTAATGTTAGGAACTAAGAATATTAATGAACTGCTTTGTTTTTTTGTTCAAACCAAATGTTTAAGGTGTGTTAATACATGTTGGTTTACAGGGGGATTCCGGCGGTCCTCTGGCCTGTCCATCCGCTGACCAGTCCAGATGGGAGGTGACCGGTGTGGTGAGCTGGGGAGAGAACCCGTGTGGCACTAACTACACCCCGACCCTCTACACCAGGGTCTACAACTTCCTCGGCTGGATCAACAACAAAATGGCGAATGACTGAGCATAACTTTTGCTTGATGGCTTAAAATACAGTATCAAGTTGGCCAGGCATTTATTTTATTCCAAAATTTCATGACTAGACATGGTGACGACACACTCAATTTTTTTCCACTTATGTTATGCCGCTACCAACGCAGAGGATCCACAAGTACAGCACTTGAGTTAAGTAAGGAAAGTCGTGTGAAGTGCCTTTCCCAAGGGCACAAGTTAAGACCGATGGAATGTCAGGACTCGAACCCGAGATCTCTTGGTTCCGAGTCGAGCACTCTGCCGTTTCACCACACGACCCCACAAATTGGCCAGGCATTGTTACCCATTTGGCTGGTAAAAAAAGATCTTCCACATAAGAACAAATAGGACGTTTTAATATGAAAATGTAAAACCTGAATGAACAATAATGACTTACTGAGCGTATAATGCGGTTAGTGCTAAATGTGTTGTGTGCGAAAGTTTGGAAGTTACTGGTAAACTAGAAATATAAGCAGCTAGTTCAGGGCATCTAAAAGTATGAGGACCGAATTAGTTACCCGAAGCATAACGTGTGTGTTCACTCGTACGGTTACATGTTTCCGGTTGAAATGCTAGCATAATGCTTACACAGAATGATAACCCATTCCACTGTTTACATGGCGTATAAGACATATTTGCCTTAGAGTGTGTTGACGTAGGCAAGAACAGCTGTGGTTGGCTAAGTTTGATATGAAGCGATCATGTCATAAAAGGATAGAAGAGAATTAAACTCGGAGTAGATTCTTCCTACCATTCTGTCCAGTAACATTAGCAGGATGTGGGCTGTTGTGTCTCTCGTGACTTTGCTGTCGCTCAAAGGTTTGATACCCATCGTACCACTCACCACTGAAATATTTTTAATGTTACGCCATTTTTATTTCTTGTCTACTGCAACATAAGGCGCGGCTTTACTCGCCATTTGATCGTTTTTGTCCCAGTACTTTATCCTTCTTCATTTAATCATATTTCCTAGACCTAGATGATGATGAGACCTAGATATGTATTATGTGGTTGGTAGCACTCTTGCTTACGAAAAGGATGGGGGGGGGGATTTCGGCGAAATACAGCTTTTACTTCAAGACCGATTTGCTCTTTATTTTGTCTGCGGTTTTGTGAAGGAACGTTACAACGTTACAACAACATGTGTATGTTATGGATGCCTGACCATAAAGTGTATTTATTGGAACAGCTTGCGCAGGGGCGCCACACGCGCCACAAACATATGGTGTGGTACATTATGGGGAAGTCCAGCACAGAGAATCTAAAGGTATTTGCATTTTTGTTTTTCTAATTTTCATTTAAGAATTTCCTAAGTATTATAACAGTAATATTGTATATAAGTTTCACGTGGCGTCTTAACCCAAATTTAATATATGTCCCAAGGTTTATTTGGGATTACAAGAGAAACGATGTCTTTAACCCGTCACACATTCAGACCACAACCGAGTGTTGTAAACATTCGGCTGGCGCCTGTTTGTGACAAGGGCTTAAGCAAGCAGGAGAAAATGATGCTACAATTGCTGATGTTTTTTTGTGATTTTGTGTATCTATCAGAGATGCAGAAAGTATACAGAAGAGACAATGGGGCGAGTACAGCTATATCACGACCACGTTGTCAGTAAATAATTGCATGGCTAGTTTACCAGGCGTTGTAATACATGTATGTTGTATTATGCCTAAGGCAGATTTCCTTATCCAGAATATTTTTGTTTTGAAATTACATTGGATGCCTTTAAAATTTCAAATGACTTTACTGTGAATCAATTCGTTCGTTTATCCAATATCTCTCTCCTAGATCTCTTTGTCCATTGTGGTGACGGAACTTTCATCCACATTGACTACTGGTGCGACGGGCAGTACTATCACTGCGCCAACTTTGCCGATGAACTCAGCTGTAGTAAGTCCGTGCATGCTTGTTATGTTTACCGAAGGAAATCATACTGTTTTTTTGCTCTGTTTCCTCTTCTTCTTCTTCTCCAAGCAAATGAGACCAATGACCTGAACCAGACGTCTGTCACCATGGTAACTAGTGTTGGGTTACATCATGTTGCAATTTTATAGCAGGGGGAGATTTAGAGTGCTGTAATCATATAATATGAATGTGTTTGACTATGAATTAACAGGGCAGACCATATGCGAAGGTAAACATCATGCATTTGCTTTGCAAATGTTACGTTTCTAGATTAATCTTGTGAATCTTGTATAACTGTGATCTTATTTAAAGCAGCGTATCGCACGTACGGGACTACTACATTGCGGTATTAAAGCACTTGATACTTACTGGAGAGTGCTACGTTGAAAAGTTTGATAAAGAACAGTCCATTTGCCAATTCTGGTCAGCCGCCCGTCTCCCACAAGATCAGACAGGCCCGCCTGCGACTCTTTGGTCACTTAGCCAGAGCCGAGCCACCCCTGGAAGCTGCCAGTCTACTGAGGGCAGCCACGCCTGCAGGCTGGTCCAGACCCAGAGGCAGACCCAGACGCAGGTGGGGAGACCAGCTGAATGCAGACCTCAGCACAGTGGGCCTTGATACAGCTACAGCCTGGCTGAGGGCGCAGGACAGAACTGGCTGGAAGTCAACTTGGAAAGGCGCTACGCTCCCCGGAGCATGCGGTCCTGAGTGAGTGAGTGAGATTTGCCAATTCAGTGACCAGAAACGTATTTCTAACCGCAAAGACTGATTAAGAAGACTGGGTAGAAGGCAATATCAAATTCTACGTGGGTCCTTGAGACAGAAACATTTGCCAGCTGTAATAGAGTTTGAATCGTCACACGTGTAAGAATGATACCGGACGGTGGCCTGTTGTTCTGTTTGGAAAGTTGCTGAAGCTAATATTTACTTCTGATGTCAGGCTCACAACAGACAGTGGCGTGTGGGGACGGCAACTTTGTACAGCCCAGCCAGTGGTGTGACGGACAGTACTACCACTGCCCCAACTTCGCTGACGAGCTCAGCTGCAGTACGTAAAGTTATGTTGGATTTTATATA